TGATACAAGAGTGGATGTAGTAGTACTTCGAATCTGTTGATATTCGTTTCAATTTGACGTTTTTTTCTTTCAGGTCTTGGTGGAACGTACTTGATACACTCAATCGACTCATTGGATTGAATGTTAAGATATTGAGCCTTTAAATTTGAATAATTCTATAAACTTGTTTTATTTTTGTATCTTTTAAAACACTTCAATTGGTTGCTTTCTTGAATTTGAATTTTTCTTATGTTAAATTTTTAATCCCGAATTTTTAACATAAGATGTTGCATCTTTAAAATATTGTACCCCAATTTTTTGATTAAAAAGATTAGGTTCATACCAAAATAGAAAAATTCATTACAAACCCAATTGGAATATTCAAGAAATTTAATTGTTAATAAACCTTATGTTAAACTTTTTTAACCATGTTGAATTTTTCAAAAACAACTTTTTTCTATTGTTTTAATTGGTTGTTTTTATTTCAAGTTGTAGTTCTAACTGTTACCTTTTCAATTCTACAAAAATACAAATCAATAAAAGTGTGTTTAACTTTGTCGTTTTTAAAGTTACAGTAAATTTTAAGTAAATTTTATTAAACTGTATATAATTTATTACAAATTTGAAATATATGAAGCACTTAGAAACAAAATTTGATAAATTAATTATTCAATTCAATGTATTTAAATTTTAGCATAAATACAAATATATGGATTACAAAACAATGATAATCCAATATTCGTTTATAAATTATCATAAGTTCACCATAATCTATTAATGTGGTTGTGTTTTATAAACATTTTGATGACATTATTAAATTTGAAACACAAATTTATTTGAATATTACATAATTAGTATAAACAATTTATTTGCAAATTTTATACATATCACATTTTTGAACTGAAAATACTTTTAACATAAAATTGATAATATTTTATTATATTTTATTTCTACTTTTTACTTTTGACAAAAAAAATAATTAAGAACTGGTAAAAAAAATTTGAAATGCGTGTCAAACAGAGGTTTCCAAAATCACAATCCTAATTACCAAAATGTTCATTTTCTCTATAAATTCGTAATTTTATAATACCACATTTTCGGCAATAATTATTTTGGAAACCTTTGGTGTCAAATAATTATAAATACAAAAAATAATTAATTAATTATTTTTTATAAAAAAAGTGATTAAAAAAATTATTTGGTAAACAAAAAATAATTATATTTCTTTTAAAACATTCATATTCAAACAATTGTATTTTATTAAAAATGTAGTTTTTTGATATTCACATACATAGTTACCAATATGACAAGTCATGGAATGATAAATAAATAATTCACAATCATGTTTAAATCAGATTTTTGATGAAAACATAAACCAAAGATAATAATTGTTTTTGACATATTTTTTACTAATTGAATATATTCTTTATATTTAAATATGTGTGGCCATTTTATTTGTGTAACTACATTAAAAACTATTATTTTCCAATAACTCACTTTCGATAATGACATGTAAATAATGTTATTTAATATATTTTATATTTTTAATATATTTTGTCTAAATACACACATAAATAACACAATTATAAAAATGACATCACAACTTTTATTGAATAGTGAAATAATAACACGATTATACAGTTACTTTTAATGATTTGATTATGATTATAAATATAAAATGATTCACTACCATACTTAACATGTTCATTGTAAAAACGGAAATAATTATTTAACATGTAAAATTTTTGAGTGTGTAAACATTTAATTTCAAACTAAACAAATACAAAATTATTATAGTATAAAAAGAATGTGAATGGTTATTTTTAACGACTTGTTGTTCACACCCATATGTACATGTAATAAAACAAATTATATATATTTAGTGGTCAAAATAACCAACAACCAGATGAAATTTGTTTATGATAAATAATCAAATATTCATATGAACAAATTATAAATGTTAATATGTATTAACATTTATAAAATTAATAAAGATTTAATTAAAATAATTAATCTATATTATTATTTAATTTGAAAATAATTGATTTGAAATTAAATGTTTGTGTATTACTAAGATTATATGTGCATCGTATTATAAATCCAAAAAGACAAACATTTATGTTTTAATGCACTTTTATGTATGATCTAAAGAAATAACTGTTATAATAAATAAATATGTATGTAATTAATTTTTGAAATAATCATGAAAGTGTATTTATTTTTGTTGAGAAGACTAAATTAATGCACCACAACAAAGAACTGGGATAAATTTTATAATTTATTTATTTCTGCTTTTACTCCTTGATGATGAAATATTTATTTTTTATATCTTATGTATATATATAAAAGAGCAACAAGTTAAAAGCAAAAATGTTTTGAACTGTGCTATTCTAGTAATTTTGGTGTAATTATTTTAAGTTCGGTTCAGATGTTACATGTTTACACACTAAAAATTTATCACGTTTTATTTTTGACATTGTATAAAAATGAAAATGTTGTGATTAACAGTAAAACCCAATCCATCATTTGTTGTTATTACATTATTGAAATTAATAATCAATACATGTTTCTATTTTTATAATAATAAATGTTGTAGTGTTACCAAAAAAACATTTGTTTAATTATGTGTTTTATATGAAGAATAAGAAAACAGTTGTTAAGAAAGAATAATTTGATATAACAACTCTCTTATATGTAATTATCAACAAAAGGTTGTTGAAGGAAAATTGTGTACATCGAGGTAGTTACACAATGCAATTGATGATAATCGTTTATTTTTGTTTTAATCTATATCATCTTCATTGCACAAAAGTTATTATTTACAATCAAAAAAATCAATGTAATAAACAACTATTATTTAAGTGGAAATTTAATTTGAGAATAACCTTTGTATCAACACTGTTGTATATTTGTTTTTGTTTATTTGAACTTTTAATTGTGTTGATATTTTTTTATGTGAAAATTGATAACACAATCTGTTAAGGTTAACGATGATTATATATAATCAATTCAACAATGAGTAAATTCAAAAAAATTGTGGAGTTTTTTAAAAAATATTTTTTTGTTGTTATTTGGTAAAGAGGAAAGTAAAATGCCGATATACAAAAAAATAATTAATTAGGCCCAAAAGATCTTAACATTATTTTGGTCGTGACTATCTCGAAGGTCACCTTAAATAGCAGAATATTAATAAACTGATACTATAATTTAAATATTTTTCACAGTGATTTTATGTTAAAAATGAAATTATTTTCTTTGATATTCTTAGAGGAATAAAACCAAATATATAACCAATCAATATATTTCAAATTCCGACTTTTCAAATCTAATTTTTTATATCGAACGATGCCAATTCCCACAAATGTTATGAATAAAATAGTTTCTGAGTTAATTTCCATATACAAGCAGCCATACATCGACTTAAAACTCGAAGCACAAGACGCGCCGTTTTATTCCAGTAAAATTGGTGGTCTTCCGTATTTTCCCAAAGGCTCTGTATACCCCCAGACTCCCTCGGGTGAATACATGTATCTTCTTGCACAAATAAACTTCTCAGAAATGCCGGCACTTGAAAATTTCCCGAGAAGTGGACTTTTGCAATTTTTCTTGTTTCCAAACCGCACACTTGGCCTTTTCAACGACGACGGAGAGTTCGACCAAAAATTACACAAAGTTGTTTATTATGAAAAAGTCGATATGGACGAGAAACACCAAAACGAACTCCCCAAAGAAATTGCACAGAATTACGATGACGACCATAATATATTAATCGACAACTTTCCCTTCGATGCAGTCTTTGCAATCACTGGGGATATGAAGGAAGGTTGCAGTTTCGGGTGGTACAAAGCAGACCAAATTTTCGAGCGAATGGCAGTCAAATATGAAGTCGATAAAGAACAACTGCGCGATGCTATTTTGAGCGACAGAAGACTGAGACCACAGATGTGTTCGTTGGGTGGGTATCCAAGCTTCGCACAAACAGACCCAAGAAAAGACGACACGTATGGAGTTATGTTATTGCAAATTGAGACAACTACAGTGGATGACAAACAGATAATGTGGGGAGATTGTGGGGTCGGCAATTTCTTTATTTCAAAGGAAAATTTGAAAAATAAAAATTTTGATGATGTGCTCTATAATTATGATTGCTGTTAATTGTTTTCAATTAAGTGATCTATTAATTCAATTGTTTTAATATTATTTTTATAATAATGAAATTGATAAGTTGGTTGTAATTTTATTAATAATTTGACCTAATTATTCTTTTTTTTTCTTTATAAAACATTTTTTGAAAAAAATGGTTTGTTGGTGATAATTCCAATACCACTAATGTTTTAATTTGAACATTTGTAAAAATTGAAAAAAAGGATTACTTATTAATTATTGTTTGCGCGATTGGTTTGTTTACTGTTTACATTTCAAAAGAATATAAGGTCAAATAATAAAAACTTGAATAATTAACAAAAAATACCACATTTTGTTTTTTGTCTCAACATAAACCCAACTTATATTTTCACCCAAAAAATATTTTTGCCATTAATTATAAAACTTTTATAATTCGTAATATGAAAAACAAATGCTTTATTTTATTGGTGTTTATTAAAACATAAAACGTCCGTTATAGAATCAAAAACTAATAACAACATAAACAGCATTAGAACGAACATATGTTGAGCAATATGACAACTCTTGGTTTTAAAATAAACATGCGTTGTTTTGTCATAATTCAACACGCTCAAACGACACGTTGATTAACATTATTTCGGTTTTAGATGAAAAAATCATTTGTTTTTAAAATAATTTTTAAAATTATTTTAATTATTTTTCAACTAAATGACAATTTGGTTTATGTATTACCATTTTAAGGTTTTGGACTGGAAATAATTAAAAAATAGCAAAAAAATAAAAGTTGTTGTTTTTTGATTTTTTTAATATTCGATAAGAGACCTCCCTTTTATTTTTTGGTCTCTTATCGAATATATTATTATCTCGAATAGCCCTCTTATCGATAATTGACTGTATATAAGTTAACTCTTATCGACATTTGCAATCAAAATAAAGTGTTTGCTGCAATTATTTTAAAAGTAAGTCCATACTCTGCTACAATTTTAGGTTTTTTGGCCGTCCAATTTCCTTAAAGCCACGCACAATACGAAAAGGTAAAACTTGGTAAATAAGCAAAAACCAGTACGCAAACAAACAGTTTGTTGGTGGATTTTAATACTTTTAATATTCCGTACTGTTTGGTATTTATTGATTTGAGTTGACTGTTTTTCATAACAAAATCAGTTCTAATGTTTTTCCGTTTCCGATTTATCATTATCAGAAAATAAAAAAGAAATGAACGAATTACTCTTTTTTAATAGATTTCAACAAAAACGCCATATTCTCGGCCAAATTTTTCATAGTTTCCTTTGCCTCTTCATCTTCTTCGACTCCATCGATTCTCTTCTCTTGTGGGTTATACCCATCGTTCCAATATGACGACCCGACGATGTACATGTTGTTCATCCCAAACCAATGATTGATAGTATCATAGACGTGTATGGCTCCTCCTCGTCTTGCAACCACAACAGCAGCTCCCGCTTTTCTTTTTAAGTGTTTTCCAATTATTAAACCGCATCGGTCGAGCATGCCTTTCACTTCCATTGGGACGTCCGCATAATATGTCGGACTTCCTATTATGACGCCATCGGCCGCTACTATTTTGGAACATAACTCGTCGATCACGGGATCTTCCTGCCAACACTTCCCGTCTTTCTGACATCGCCAACACGAACGACATGACTTGATGGACTTGCCTCCTATTTGGAAGTAATCGGTGGTTATTCCTTGTTGCTCTAATGATGTAATAAGCCATGATAACATATGGGAGGTGTTCCCATGTTCACGGGGACTGCCATTTATCAAAAGAACTTTTATTGGAAGAGACATGGATTTGTGAGATCAATAATTTCGTTCAGTTTTTCGTTTATTTTTATATTTTATAAGTTGATATTCTTTTTGAATAACAGTCCCTCAAGCTAACCTTATGAGATTGTTTTTTGATTATTTCTATTATATAAACTAAAAATAAATTATTCATTTTATTTTCAAATTTTTTATTTGTTCCACATTAATCAACACAAATTTTCAAATAATATTTTTAATAATTAACTATTAATTATATAAATATTATGATTAAATTAACTATATTTTCAAAAACAATCCTAGAAAGCAAGCTTTTCCTATTAGGCTCGCTTGAGGGACTGTAATAATAAAGAATAATAATGTGTCTCCGTTTGATAAGAAACCCAATTCGAGGTTTGACTGTATTTTATAGTTAGTTAACCATATACCCCTTTAGCTGACTGAACTATAGTTAGCTAACCAACTAAATTTAAACTAACCCAATTATAATAAATATATGGTTTTATTATAATTTAAAAATAATTTGAAAAATATAACTCAGGCGTCTCCATTTTTTACTCTAATAGCTGTTCGGCGACTTTTGAGTTTACTAAAAAGTCGCCGACTTTTTAGTCATATCAAAAGTCGCTGACCTATATTTATAATTTAAATACAATAAAATTTACTTATAAAAAAGATAAATTAATCAATATCAAAACTATTTTAAAATAATTAAATAATTATTTAAAAAAACTATAAAAAAAATAAAAAATAAAATAAAAATTGATGAATAATAATGGTGATTTTGTGAGAAAAAGAAACAAAAGGCAAAAAAGAAATAAGTAAAAATTCATTTTGCCACAAAAAACAAACTTGAGATTAAAATGAAACTCAAAAATAATCTTACAATTACATGAGCACCACACCTCTACGTTTTCTACACACGTTTTCTTCTCATGTCAATCAAGAAGCTAATATACACACAAATCACCCACCACTCAAACGAACGATAAAGAAAGGAACAAGAAATAACAAAAAGAAAATAAAAAGAAACGTCAAATCAACTCAATATATGGAGGAAGTATCTATACAACAAATTACTACAAATCAACTGATATTACAAACAACACAAAGTGAAGTTAATCAGTTGACACAACGGTCTTTAACTAACTCTCAAAATAACAGCCAATCAACACATATTGCACAAAGTCAACAAAGTGTCAATTTAATTCCACAGACCCTTCACATACAACAAATATTTCAACACCAGAATATTCAAAACACTCATAACATTAACCCTGATAATTCGATACACAATTCACAGTACAATGAAGCTACACAAACAACATACCAAACAACTGAACATCCTCAACCACTTTTGACCATGGTCGAAACTCAGAAACAACCATCACGTAACAACACTTTAATTGCATTGCAAAGATCATTAATTGTCAATGAGGAAGAATTTGAAGAATATCACACGGGAGACACACCAACAAGACAGCGTCGTCGAAGTGAAAATGAAATTGATTATAACTCAGAAATAACAATAGAATCCACATACCCAACAAAACCCACTTCCAATGAAAAACGTTTAAATTATCCAATAAAAGTGTTTTTAAAACGTACATCATCAACAATTGTTGATTTAACAGGATTCACAAATGATGAATTTGACGATATTTTTGATATAATACTATACAATGGAAGATGGGACGCTGTAAACAGAAAATATGTTAAACAGCGAATTGATTTAAATATACTTTCAGTAAACGAAAATCAAATTTTGAATCCAAAAGAATTGTTTTTATTGCTACTTACATTCCTCAAACACGCATTTGATTACAAAACATTATATGATATATTTGATTATAGAAAAAGAAGCAACATTTCAGAAGAAAAACAGATTTGTAAAAATTCAAAAATTAGTTTTATTTCGAAATATTTAGAAAGATCATATTTACTTTTTGCAGTAAAAATGAAAAGGATTTTTATTGAAAGTTTAAATTGTATTCCCCAAAAACTTAGTGTAAATTTGGCAACAGGCAGAAGTCAAGATTATTTAAGGTTTATTCCTCAACTTGGACATTCATTTTACATCGTTGATGGAAGAGACCAAATGATTTCAACACAACTAAAAACATCAGAAAATGAACGCAAAGTAAAGGATGGTAGATATTTTACATTTAAACATCACTGTAATGGGCTCAAAACAGAAGTTTGTGTTAACTGTGATGGAATGGCTGTTAAAGTGTCAAATACTCAACAATGCGCAACAAACGATTTAACTGTCTACAAGTGTAATTGGGATCCCAGTTTTGTTTTGGAAAATGAGTGGGTACTTGCAGATAGTGGATACAGAGGAGTCGGACAAACTTTGATACCTTATCCCAAAACTGGAAAAAACGAACAGATTGTATTAACAGAAGATTACTTGATCAATATGAGTCTAATGATGAATGGTTCTGAACATAGATTGAGAATTAGAGGAAACTTCGAAGGAACTTTAAAAAACAGTGTATTTAAAGGAGGTGTAAGTGGTTCTATTGTCGAAATAGTTCACTTTGATACGGAAACAGTGCAGGAAATAGAACTATACACATTGTTCAGACAAGTTGACGTGACAGAAAGAGATGCCAAATGTAGGGTGTGTTGCACTACAACTTTTGAAACAAATTTTGAGGATGTTTCAAACTCAACATATCAAATCTTGGGCGTGCTCGAAATTTCGAATGTTGAGTTTATTATTGATTCGAACCATTTTGAATGTGAGCGGGGCACAATTGAATGTGAATCAATGATGTTATTAACAAAAGTAGACAATTCACTTATTAAAGCGTACAATGCAGTTCACTCAAGTGTCAGAATTCTCGTTGAAAATCATTTTAGTCGATTGATAATATTATTTAAGTTGATGAGAAACAAATACGGGCTATTAAAAAGAGATTATGAGTCTCTAGTCAATATTGCTCATTCACTTTGTTATTACCACATATCAAAAAAGCCATTAAGAAAGTTTCCTTTTTATCTCTTCAAAAGAATGGCAGATGGAGATTATTCGACCCCCATTGGAACAACCCCAATTCAACTCCCACGAATTGCTGGAGAAATTGTGTCAAAATTGAGTGGAGAGTATCATAGAGCAAAACTAGTTCACAACGAAAACAATTTAAGACAATACAATTCAATAAACGAATTTCTGGGTGTTGGAAATTCTTCAAGAGCAATTCAACAAATAGTTATTCCAACTGAACCACATTCTTCAACTACAAATGAGTTGGTTGATGATGCCACATCATTACTGAGACCTTTTCCATGTGGAGAAGTGGGAGAAATCATTTTTTCAGAAAGTTTAATGAATGAAATTAACGATGAAATTGATTTTTGAAGAACGGCAATTTTGTTATTGTGGTGATCTTATTTTAAAATTTAAATTTTTTGATTTTAATAATATTTTAAAATAAACTGTTGTTTATTATTGTATTTAAAAGTGTTTTTAAATTATAAAATTTTAATTGTTGTTATAATATTTATAACAACTTTTGATAGAATTGTGCATATTTGATATTTTAAAAATTATAGTAATACGAATTAATATCAATAGTTTTGTAGTTTGTTTATAAGTCGGCGACTTTTGAGTGCACTCAAAAGTCGCCGAACAGCCATAAAATACCCACATCATCAATTATTTACCATTTTAATATATATTCAAAACCATATTTTAATTGTATTTTTTTGTTCTTAAAACCAGGACTGCAAACCTCAATTAAATAATCGTTTTTTGAAAAAGAAATAATGGCATTTTATCTTTTTGGATAAAATAAAAAATCCTATTCACAAAAGAATTATTTTGCTCAATTTAATGAAAATAATTATAAAAATTAAAAATATGCTGTTTTGGTAATGTTTTTGAATAATACGCTCAAAACTGCACTTTATTCGGTTCTTCAAATAATAAGACCAAAAGTGTTTTGAAAAACAAATAATAACCAGAAAAAACAAATAAGAAAAATTTTAATATTTAAACCAAAAACTAAAGAAAAATAAAACAAATAAGTTATTGAGAAAATATTTTGATTGAATGGCATAAATAAATAATAGGAAAATGTCATTGGATTGAGGTAAAATAATAATGTTGTCATTACATTCTGTGTTAGAACTTGACATATAATTTAACTTGTTCAACCTTGAAGTAATCACTGTTTCATTGTATTCATTAAACATGAATCAGTGTATCAAATAAAACACAAAAAGAGTTTTTATATATTTTTCATTTTAAATATTAACATTATTAAAACTAAAATATAGAATAAAGTGATTTAAAATTTTGACACAAATTAATTTAAATGACAGTTTGTTGTTTCAATGAATGAAAATTAAAAAATATAAATTGACATTACAAGGTTGGACGATACCAAATAAATATATTTTTTATGTTCATTTGGTTGTGTTCTAAACAGCACATTTGATAATGAAAAAAATAATAATAGTTTTTATTTAAAATTCAATACAACTTGATAACAACTTTGGATCGAGTTGCACAAAAATTTAACAGTTTGTTTTGGCTTACAAAAACAATTTATATCATTTTTAAAAAATAAATAATATTTATAATTAGTTATGTGTATAATCCCTTTCCAAACACATTTAAATGGTCGTTGAAAATTGTGTTTAATGTTACACTATGAATTATCAATTATTATTTAAAACAAATTGTCGGTGTTGAATATTATAGGGGTGTGATACATGGTTACTACCCAAAAATTGGTTACTGTTTTGCAAATTTCATAATGTACAAATTGATTAAAAAATACAATTTTCTCAAATTAAAAACACTTAAGTTTATTATTATAATTTACCAAAAATTATTATTGCTGAATTAAAATTTAGAATTCCAAATTTAAAAAAAATCAACCAAAACATACCAAAAACTATTTTATTTAACTATTATTTTTTCTTGCCAAAATTAAACAAAAAATTCAGTTTGACCTCTAAATATACCTTTAATAGTCAATTTTGTCAGCCCGAAATAGAGCAATTTACAA